GACAACTGATTTTGATCCATCAGAATTTAAGAACATTCCCTCATCATTATCTCAGTTATCAGCAGTTGTGTGTAACATTGACTGTGGAAAGAGGAAAAGCAAGGAACATACAATCCTCACAGCTCTCTAAGTTGTATTTTTACATCTATTTGAGTTGTTTTTTTGTTTGAACTGACATGTCTTTTAGTTGAACAACTGAACTTATCTGAATGTCATTTCACCAAAAATTCTTGTTCTGAACCATAGGATCTATGTTTTGCTGGGACTAAGCCCAGTGTTTTGTTTTCTTCTGTTGCTATTATATCTTGGCAGTTGTCTACTTGTAGATATTGTCATAGTAAATTCAAATTTTCCACCATATTTTGACCAGTTAGAACTTGAAACTGGTTTGATTGTTCAGTTCAGCATTAACATTACAGCATTTTCCTTTCTCATAAAGTAGCTGAACTGAGATTGGAATTAAAGTGGCTCTAATTCTACACTAGTTTTCTGAAAAACACATTTTTCTGCATTTAAGGCTACCCATTATAGCCACATTATAGAAAAGGGCAAGTAACTTAAATGTCTATGAAAAATTACCTGTTCTCCTCCTGAAAAATGCATAAGAAAAATATGCTATCCAGCTTTTTTTTTAAAGCAACAGTCAGTACACAAAGTACATCTCACCCCTATTCAGGAGGACAAGTAAAGTAGCTCTGGATAGAAAGAAAGGAGCAAAGTCCCAGGAAAAGTTGTGCTCTCACTTAGGCAAGGAAACTTAACACTGCTCCAAGTCAGGTAAAAACCTGCAATTTTGTTGAAAACAGGTTCCTGGTGTTCCTTACATGAGTATTTTTACATCATGTGAAAAAATAAGTACACCCAATGTAAAGTTTTTTCTTTCTTAACATATGTGGACATACCTATATTTTATCTTCATTCCAACAGTATATAAAGATAATGGTGATGTAACTGAACAAAAAAAAAACCTATGAAAAATTGAGTTTGCAATTATTTGTTAGAATAAATAAATGAGATATGCCATTTCCTTCTGTAGAAAAAGTAAGTACACCCTTAGCTCTTATACCATATTGTTTCATTTGGCAGAAACAACCTCAGATAGGCACTTCTTACAACTGTCTCCCAATCTCTTGACATCGACTGGGAGGAATTTTGTCACACTCTTCCATGAAGAATTTTTTCAGCTGTGTGATGTTTGAGGGGTTTCTTGCACACACATCCTGTTTCAATTCATCCCACATCATCTCAGTGGGATTTAGATCCGAGCTTTGACTTGGCCATTCCAGAACCCTCCATTTCTTTCTTTTTCAGCTGTTTTTGGTGAATTTACTTGAATGTTTAGGGTTATTGTCATGTTGCTAGGTCCGCTTTCATTTGAGCTCTGGCCTTCTGATAGATGGTCTCACATTATCCACAATCACCCTCTGGTACAATGAAAAACCCATAGTGGCTTCTGTGATGGTGAGATGCCCAGGCCCTGATGCAGCAAAGCAGCCCCAAACCATAATATTTCTACCACCATGCTTTACAGTTGGTATCAGGTTCTTCTGATGAAATGCTGTCTTTGGTTTTCACCAAACCTGTCTTTTGGTCCTGTGGCCAAATGACCCTATCTTTGCCTCATCTGTCCAAAGCTCATTTTTCCAGAAGTCCTGGTCTTTGCTTAGATGTTCATGAGCAAACCTTAGTCTTGCCCTGATGTTCTTTCTGAGTAGCAAAGGTTTCCTCTTGATATACCTCCCATGTAGATCTAATTTGTGCAGCTCCTTTCTAATGGTAGAATGTACTCTGGCATCAGTAGTGGCAAGAGCTACCTGTTGGTCACGTGATGGAATTCTGGGGTCCTTAGAGACTTCTTTCTGCTCTCGGGCTGAACTTGCTGGGACGGCCTGGCCTGGGCAAGTTGGCTGTTTAAAATCTCCACTTGTAGATGACCTTCTGGACAGTGGCGTGATTGATGTCCAATTATTTGGCAATCTTTTTAAGTCCCTTCCCAGACTCCTAGGCATCTCTAACCTTATTTCCAAAGGCCTCAGAGAGCTCTTTCAATCTAGACATGGTTGATAGCACACCTTTCAACAACAAAGAGCAAATCAAACTAAATCTCTGAGGTTTCAGTAAGGCAGGTTCCAACCAGATCCTCTCTAACAA